AGCGCTGCAGGTTGTTGCGACGGTTGGGATTGCAGTCATTATTGATCACATGAAATTTGCTTGCTTGCACTTGACTGGCATTTTACCAGGGTAATATTGCTTGCCGTTGTGGGTGTTGCCGCTGACGTGAATTGAATGCATGACTGAGTTGCTCAAATCATGTCGGAACAAGTCGTACAGACGTACATTACTTGGACCCATGGAGCGCAGCCGACGTGGTTACAGTTTCACGGACCTGGAGCCCTGCTTGACAGACCCATTCGGCAGACTACGTCACCTCCGCCCCCACCAAGTTTCCCACTGCTTCTTCCACCTCCGCCTCCTCCACCGCCACCACCACCGGTGATTCTACACCCACAGTTTATGCCCTCAGTACGGAGCCCCTCGATCTCAGCTCCTCGCGGACAATCCTGCCCTGCCACATCGAAATCGCAGCGCACACGCCGCTCGATCTACAGCACTGACCATTCCCGTGATGAAGAGCTACGCAGTCCAGGGCGTTCATCCAAACGATCTCGGACAGCATCCGCTTCTGCACCGCGGAGATCTCGGCGGCCCTTTACCGTGTTCCCCTCCAAACGTGCTGGCCGTCCATCGCTGTCCCCATCGGCAAATTGCAAGCATTACTGTCATGCCTTCCTGCGCCATGGGCGGAAATGTCTTTCCCCTTGTGATCGTAGACGACCAGGACATTATCATTGCAGGTGTGCGCGGCATCAACGGCGGTGAAGCTTAGGCGTCGTATATTACAAACCTCGCTGCTGTGTCTCACCTTGAGTTTGAAAAGTTGCCTTGCATCCCTTCAGCTGCGCGCGGTTGTCATTGCATGTGTGTCTTCGCCGCAGATTTTCGATTGCTTTTAGCGGCCGCGCGATAGCCTGTCTTGCCGCTATGAACCCTCAATATTTCGAGTACCAGATCGACAGAGGAGTGGAATGGATTCAAATTTACTCACCGAGCACGTGGCGACCCGTTCCCGATGATGCTCCAGTGCTCGACCCGGTCTACGCTTCCACGTATGGCGCAGGTCATATCGCTTCCAAGTGTACTGGTCCGAAGACAGCACCGGAGGAACAACAACGGATCCCATTGTCACGCCCAGTTCGTATGTGTCCTACCATGTGTGGGAGTACCGAGACTGGCAAACACGAGGGTATCAACGACTTGGAGCTCCTTTACCAGCCATTGGACTCGCGATGCTCGTGAATGCAGACGCCAATTCCTCGGTGGACTCATCGGTTCCGGATGGGGCGTGGCGAGAGCCGTCACCACCACCATTCTATGATCCTTGGAACGATTCGGAGTGATACTTGAGCAACATGTCGGATAAAATGACGCGGTTGTGCTTGCTTTGTATGCGATTCCATGTTGGGTTGTCTTGCTTGGTGTTGTGCGTTCCGTCTCCAGCTGTTCGCCGCTTTCATTTGACTCTGAGCGGTTTACCTGGTTGATATGTTCAATTGTACAATGTATAGCGCAGCACGATGGGTCCTGCCTCGCTACTTTGACTACGACATCGTCAATGGCCCCGCGAATACGAGTGTAGAATGGATTCGGATCTATGTACCGGGTCCGTGGCATCCAGTCGCCGAGAACACCTTGGGACCAGCCCCGGATGA